CATAGCGAAGATTTCAGCATTTTTCTACTGGAGGGGAGGAAATTTTATCATTTATTCTAGAAAATTCTAGTTACTAAGATTTCAATTAAGAGCTGCCAAGAGACCTCACATGAAAATATGCTTTAATAGTATTTATCTACTTTTTAGACTTGGTTATTCATAAGTCTTATATAGACCATCTTGCAATGTATTCTAGCAGGCAAGAAGTAATAAATGATACTGGAAAAGAAAGTTGGGGATGCCTGGGTGGCTCAGTTGGTTGAGTGTCCAACTTCAGCTCAGGTCTTGAGCTACATACGGTTCATGGGTTCAAGCCCCAATGAGCTCTCTGCTGTCAGTGCAGAACCTGCTTCAAATCCTCTGTCCTCCTCTCTCTGTACCTCCACCACTTGGTTGCTCCTCTCAAAAACAAATAAACAATAAAAAAGAAAGTTGGGGTCAGACTTTTTAGGTTGAGAGAGTTTTAACCAAGGTCAAAAGCTAGTAAGAGACAGCACCAGGACTCTACCTCAATCCTTGATTCTAAATCCTGAATCACAGAATATTTTGGAAGGGGAAATAGGTAACATGTCCACAATTAGAATATTCTGACTATAACCTGGCAAGAAGTAATGAGGACTTGAACAAACACAGGGACAAGAAAGGAGAGAGAAGTCTGGATTCTAAAGAACTGTGGAGGTTGTGTTAACAGGATTTGGCAAGTGAGTATATATGGCATGTAAAAAAGAGGGATACATCACAATGAATGTGGGGTTTCCCCAGAAATGACTCACCACACAGTGCAATTTGGTTGTGGCATGCCAATGAGATGAATGTGTGTTCATATGTCATCTAAGAGAATCAACTCATAACAACCAGTTTAAGTAAATATTATCAAAACAATGAGATTGCAACAAAAAGTGACAATGAGGGGCACCTGGGTGGCTTAGTAAGTTAAGCATCCGACTTGGGTTCAGGTTATGATCTCACGGTTCATGAGTTCGAGCCCTGCATCGGGCTGTGTGCTGACAGCTTGGAGCCTGGAGCTGCTTCAGATTCTCTGTCTCCCTCTCTCTCTGCCACCACCCTCCACCCGCTCATGCTGTCTCTCTCTCCTTCAAAGATAAAAACATTAGAAAAAAATTTTTTTTAAGTGTTGAGACAACCCTGATTATATCAAAAGTAGAATTAGTAAGGATTTGTGATTTATTTTTTCTCTAGCACAACTCCTTACAAAAAATGCTCCAATGACCATACATGAATATATCTAGTCAACTAATAGGTAGAGTCTGACTGGATTAGAGATTTGACTCTATTATTTACATTCAAAAAAACTTTATAGACCATTTCAAACATACACAAGTGAACAGTATAATGAATCCCTAGGGTAACCTATCACCAATTCAACGATTATCAATTTATAGTCAATCTTGTTTCATCTTCATCCACACCCACAGATAACTGTTTTATCCATAAATATTTTACCATGAATTTCTAAAATATAACAATTCTTTTTAACACATAATAATATCAGAAGATACTAACAAATGATATATCCAATTAGGGGTTAATTTCTAAAATACATCAAGAGCTTATACAACTCAACACCAAAAAACCCAAATAATCCAATTAAAAATGGGCAAGAGGAACTGAATAGACATTTTTCCAAAGAATACATACAAATAGTCAATAGACACATAAAAAGATCTCAACATTACTAATTATCAGGGAAATGAAAATCAAATCCACAATGAGACCTCACCTTACACCTGTCAGAATGGCTAGTATCAAAAAGACAAGAAATAACAAGTGTTGGTAAGAATGTGAAGAAAAAGGAACCCTACAGCACTGTTGGTAGGAATGTAAATTGGTATAGCTGCTATGGAAAACAGTATGGAGGGTCCTCAAAAAATTCAAAATAGAAATACCATATGATCCAGCAATTCCACTACTGGGTATTTACCCAAAGAAAACAAAAACACTAATTTGAAAAGACATATGCATTCTTATGTTCATCACAACATTATTTACAATAGCCAAGATAGGGAAACAGGGTAAGTGTCCATTGATAAATGGATAAAGAAGATATGGTATATGCACACAATGGAGTATTATTACTCAGTCATAAAATAGAATGAGATCTTGCCATTTGTGACAACACGGATGTACCTAGAAGATATTATACTAAGTGAAATAAGTCCAACAGAGAAAGACATATGTCATATGATATCACTTATATGTGAAAACTAACAAAACAACTAACAAACAGACCCATAAATACAGAGAACAAACTGATGGTTGCCAGAGGGGAGGAGGATGGAGGGATTAACAAAATGGGTGAAGAGGAGAGGGAGATACAGGCTTCCAGTTATGGAATGAGTAAGTCACAGGGATGGAAGGTACAGCATAGGAAATACAGTCAATGGGGATGTAATAGCATTGTATGCTATTAGGTGGTAGCTAACCTACCTACAAGCTACAAGGTGGTAGCTACACTTGTAGTGAGCAGAGAATAAGGCAGAGTTGTTGAATCACTATGTTGTACAAACGTACACAAATGTAATATTGTGTGTCACTATACTTCAATTAAAAAATATGAGTTTGGGGCACCTGGGTGGCTCAGTCAGTTAAGTGTCCGACTTCCAGCTCAGGTCATGATCTCACAGTTTGTGAGTTCAAGTCCCGCATGGGGTTCTGTGCTGACAGCTCAGAGCCTGGAGCCTGCTTCAGATTCTGTGTGTCCCTCTCTCTCTCTGCCCCTCCCCTATTCATGCTCTCTCTCAAAAATAAACAAACATTAAATTCTTTTTAAATATATGAGTTCAATAGAAATTAGACTTTTTTCTAAAAAAAGAACAATACAATTCCCCCCAAATTAATAATTTTATAATACCATAAAATGGTGAGCATTCAACATTTCTCCAATTGTTTCATAATTTCTCTAGATATGACTCTGAAGTCTTTTTTATCTATAGTTTTCCCTTTCTTCTGTTAAAATTTTCCTTGCTAATAAAATATAAACCCGGTAATATGTCCTATAACGTTTCCCACATTCTGGATTTTGCTAAATACACCCCAGTGGTGTCATTTTACATATTCTTTTGTGCCTAGTATATTCTCTCACCTGGTACATAGAGAGGCTTCATCAGATTCAAGTCCATTTATTTGGCAAGAATGCTTCACAGGTGATAGAGACACACAGTGGTTCATTTTTGGCTGAAAATTGCCCTATTTTTTTTAACGTTTATTTATTTTTGGGACAGAGAGAGACAGAGCATGAACAGGGGAGGGACAGAGAGAGAGGAAGACACAGAATCGGAAGCAGGCTCCAGGCTCTGAGCCATCAGCCCAGAGCCTGACGCGGGGCTCGAACTCACGGACCGCGAGAGCGTGACCTGAGCTGAAGTCGGACACTTAACCAACTGAGCCACCCAGGCACCCCAAAATTGCCCTATTTTTAAAAAATGGATTAAATTGAAGCCTCATTGTAGTCAAGTGTTTCACACAGTGGTAAAATCAAGAACAAACCCCCAGTCTTTTCATTCCCAGTTCTCTACTCCTTTCGTTATATCATAAGCTGTTAACATCTCACTGAATGATTATAATATACCAATTACTCTGCTAGGTATGATATGAGATATGGTCCCGCCACTCACAAAATTACCCAAGGCATAAGTTCAGAAATCATCTTAGGCTTCTCCACTTCTCTTACTTTCACTAAGTCCTATCGATTTTATCTATTTGACATCTCTCTCATTTGTTCCATCCTCTCCACCCCCATGGCCCCTGCTTTAGTTCAGACCTTTGTCACTGACTTCCTGAATCACTAGAAAAGTTTCTTGGAGCCCCACTCCTCCCTAACTATCTTGCTTTCCTCAACCCAGATCTGCCTTGTCAACAAAAGATTTTTCTAAGTTACAAATCTATTATTTCTCTGTGTTAACCCTTTGATATTTTCTTTTCCACAGTGGAATCCATACTCCTTAGTGCAACCTAGAGTCCCCTCCATCATCTGGTCTTTGTCTATTCAACCACCCTCATCTTCATGACTTCTACTCACTATATTCCAGTTTATTGAATCACTGAAGCCCTCTGAATGTGCCAACAAGGATCTATAGTGATTAAAAGTAGACTCTAGAAATAGACTTGACTTTGATCTCTATATTCCCCCATTTTCTAGCCATGCAATCCAGGACATACCATCTCTGTGCCTCACTTACTTCACTCGTAGAATGGGATAATCTAACTGAATTATTTTCTGTATGTGTGAGGGATGACTGAAACAGCACAGAAATAGCATGAGAGCACTCAGTAAATATTAGACAGTTTTGGTGTAATTATGTTCATTCATTTCTGTATCCTTTAAATCTATTCCTAAGAATGCTTTCCTTTTCTTTATTGATAACCTCTCCCTTATTGATAACCTAGCAAATTCCTATTCTGATCTCTAAATCTTGTAGATATTTTCATTGTTGTGTTTTACAGCTATAAGTCTGTCTCTCTATGAAACTGTGTAAATTTTAGACAGGGACCAGATCTTTTTTATATTTGGCTCTTCATGTCCTAGAACACTGGCTCTCCACTGTCCTGGTTCAGTGGAAAGCTCAATAATTCAAGGTTTGGTAAACTGAACAAAATTTATGGGGTTGTTTTTAATTATATCAATTTTAATTTATGAGTCAAACATAATTTAGAAAAAATATATTGATATTAAAATATTAACTGTTCATCAGCTCCTTCACTTTATTATTTGATTTTTTTACTAAATTAATAATACAGGATGTATCTGATGACAATAAGTTTCCTTTCCTTTCAACATACTGAAAACTTGTATGATTATAAAATTTTTAAATGGTTAAATCTTTTGCTATTTATTTTAATTCATATCTAGTGTATTATTATATATATTCAGAACTCAAACTATTCATCTTCATCTTAACCTTCAATTAAATTCCACAATGCAAACCTCTTGGCACTAGAACCACATTTCATGTTTATTTAACTGAGCCCGTGTCTTGAAAAAGTGTTGAAGTTTGGGGGTTTTCTGGTGAGAATCCACATTCTGACATCACTTGCCCCTGACAGTGATTGGCTGTTAGAAGGCAAGGAAGAGTTTATAGCCAGTCACAGTAAGCAAATGAGTGAGTGAGAGAGCAGAGGAAATATTCAATCTGTGTCACTCACTCCTGTGAGCCTGTCTCCTCACTCCAGAACTGCAAAAGGGTAAGATTGAATATGACGACTTCATTTTCTTAAAATCGAACACTCCACATTTTAGATCTCTGGACGTGGCTTTGAATTTTTTTATTTAAATGCTGATGCTACTGCACTGTATAGAAGGTAATTTGTATGTAATTTAACACTGGCTTCTCATTAAACTAGTACCTCAGATTTTAGATTCTTTCCAAAAGGTTAAATTTATTAACCTATGCATGTAAATAAGTTTTTAATATTGTGCACGTAAACTATAAAACTACTTTCTATCTCTCCATCTCACAAATAACTGTTTCCTCGTTCTGATGTATTCAAGATAAGCTGACTGAAATACTATTTTTCACTTCTAAATCTGCCTCAATGTAGGCAGACTTCTCCATAAATTATGCCTATACTTCAATTACATACAATATATTTTCAATATGTTATATATCTGGTTTCCAAGTGTTAATATCCCGTACTTCTAAAATCAGTATGGAAAAATACATCACACTAGAGAAATAAATAATGCTGGTAGTTTATCATACTCTTCCCAATGAAAACTTATAATTAGATTTTCAAAACTATCCTTTAAGAATGTTTGAATTGTTGTCTGGGTTAGTAGTGGTCACTATAGACGTCTTTGTTTTTTATGAATCATAAAGTAAATAAAATGAAATTTATGTAGGTAGCCAATTGCTGCCTACATGAATCACTTGGTTCTTTTTATACTATTCCTACTATGTTTTCATCTAGTTGTTTTTATGCTTTGTTATGAGAAATTTATGTAATCAAAACCCTGTATACAGTTATATATACTTAAGTTTTAAGTTCTTTACGACATTATAAATATTCCAACTCTTTTCATAAAGCTACAGAGTAATAATCTTCCCACTTGCCGGTGAGTCTGACCATGGGTGACAAAAGTTTGAAGTATTACTTAAGCACCCCAATAGCAATAAAAACATCTTATACAGATAGGCCCCCTTTGGGGCAAAGCCTCTTTATCGTGGAGTGGTCACTAAGAATTTTACTAAAATTAGAACTATGAGGAAGTATATAGGCATCAAAATCAGAAGACCCAGTCTGCCACAAATCGAGTGTGACTTAGGACCCAAGACACATTCTTCAAGTCTTATTCTGTGTAATGTTTTAGTGTCAGATACTCAGTAAGGATGCCATAAATTCTGGCTAATGACAAAATGCAAAATCAAACTTCAGAATACAGAATACATGGATTTCATACATTTTAAATATTACTTTTCCAAAAGTGTTTATGGGGAAATTGCCACCACCATTACATATTGCTTCTAAAATGTTGCCAAAGCTGCCACTCTCACTTAAGCACTCTCAGTTAAATGTATATGTCAGTGCAAGTGGATGGGTATTAGTAGACTTTCAGCTAAGTTTATTCAACCTCTATTAAAGTAGGATTTTATCAAATAGAATAAAACTAAAGTAGGATATGATTTCACTATCCCTCTCTTTTCACTTATGAGGAATCTATGTAGAAGTGAGATCTCTGTATGACTGCAAACCCCAGGACTGTTTGGGAACTATTCCCATTCTGAGAGTTGCATTTCAGAATCAATCCTTCCATAGCATTGACGTCTCCATGATGTCTATTGCCCTGACCCTGAAGAGCCCTTGATCCATCCTGTGATAGTCTCACGCACTAGTGATGGAAAGCTTAAATGGAGCTGGAGAACAACCTAATTTGAGGAAATTTTCCCCTGATATCCCAAGGTGAAAGTCTGATGAGCTCTTCCCATAGAATCACTCTTAGACATGGCTGTGTGGTGCTACATGCTATGAGAATAGTATTTCACATATTATGGATTTCATACACTGAAAAAAAAAGAAAGTTTTTTTCTCTAAGGTAACCACAGGAAAACAGTTCCTATTTCTCATGTTAAAAAAAAACTCATAGTTCAAAACCCATTGTACAATCACTGATGTAAAAGCAATCATATAAATGTATTCAATTTTTACTTAGTTTTTAATTACAAACAAAACAGATCATATACTAACAATTCAATTCCTTAGCTGACATTCCTATGTCAATGATATTAGGAAGCCTCTTTGCTCAACGTGAAGTACACTAAGCATTCAAGCCCCTTACAGTAATGAAATGGTCTGCCACTGACAAATCACAGCAGACAGGTTAAAATCAAATATGGAGGGCTCCTAGGTGCCTCTGTCAGTTATGAAAGACCTGACTCTCGATATCAGTTCAGGTCATGATCTCACAGTCATGAGACTGAGCCCCCATGTCCCATGAGCTGGGCATTCTCTCTCTCCCTCTTTCTCTGCACCTCCCCTACTCCTTCTCTCTCTCTCAAAAGAAATAAAATTTAAAACAAATAGATAGGTAGATAGATAAAACCAAATATGGAATTCAAAATTTAAACAAAGTCAGTTTTCTACCACTTAAAAACAAAGAGGAACAATTTTGAAATAAAAGCCAGAAATTTGGTCTTAGTCAAAACTGTAACTGGACAGACACAAAAACCAATTACATAGTTCTTCTAGTATGAGTAAAAAAAAGTTATACTCTTAGTTTTAATATATACTAACTTTACCACTTCATTAATTCCAGAAGCATTCACCAAAATGAAGACTGCTTTAATTTTGCTCAGCATTTTGGGAATGGCCTGTGCTTTCTCAGTAAGTTCTGTATTAAAAACCTATAGTTATTTCCATTTTTGTCTTTTCATGTATGTAATGATTAAATGTTCTCTTAAACAGATGAAAAATTTGCATCGAAGAGCCAAATTAGAGGATTCTGAAGAAAATGGGGTAATTAATTTTAGCATACTTTCCTGGTCTGACTATACTTACTCTAGATTTATTGCATATTAAACATGAATATATTATTTATTCTGTTTATGCAGGTCTCTAAGTACAGGCCACGATATTACCTTTACAAGAATGCCTACTTTTATCCTCCTCTAAAACGATTTCCAGTTCAGGTAAGTATAAAAATTAATTTTCTTTCTCACCCATTATAATTTAAAGGTAATCAAATTTAACTACAAAATGCCAAAATTCAACTCTCACTAAAATTCAGCCAGAAAGACTTACTACAAAAAGTTTGTTTTTAATACAAAACAACTTATTCCTAAGTTCTCTTTTAAAGCAGAGATATACACACAGAGAATAAAACCATTTGGGCCCAGTCTAGAATGATATAATAAAAGCAAATACCTTGGTACATAGAGTTCAGGTATTTTGGCTAACACTGACAAAATGGACAACTTTACCGGTTGTTGACAATTAAGACAGTGATAAGGCCACTAACTGTCATACTATAGTTGAGTCAATACTGTCATACAGCTGTTTTAGACCTAATAATTTAGAGTCCTTTAATTGGTAAGGAAAAAATTGATTTCATAAACAGCAGAGACAATTTAAAATAACATTCATGATTGCTGAGGATTTTCTGAACCTCTGACCTGTGTTGGTCACTAGAGCAGTATGTCAAGTATTGAAGTTTAGCTATAACGGAAGCATGGTTCAAAAACTGCAGAGGAAAAAGAGAAATTCATGAAGTAAACTAAAAGCTTGTGAGAAAAACATCCTTAGAACTTGTAAACAAAAAGGAAAATAACAAATACTAAAAATAAGAATTTCTCTTTTTATGGGTTACCGGCGAAGAAGGCCTTTGAAAACTGGAGGTGTGGTATTGATTTAAAATATTTGACAAACCAGAATTGTGCTATTTTTATTACTATACGGTTTGGGTTCAGGGCACCAATTATGCACATCTGACCCAGGATTCCTGGGACACTAAGAGCAGTCAAGATGCTGAAAATGATGCCTCAGCACAGTGGCTTGGCAGAGCATCCTACCATATGTTGGGCTAACCCATTTCCAAATCATACAATGATAGGAAATGATAATCTTAAAGTATTTATAGCACCACAATAATTATGGAATGTGTGTGGCCACAGAAACATGAGCATAGATGATACAAGAGCTGTGGGTTTTCAGAACTGCCTTCCATTCTTTGGTATACCTCAGGCCCACAAATAAACACTGCTCATTTAAATGTGTGTTTCATTCTCTTTTTTAAACTCAATGGAGGGGCGCCTGGGTGGCGCAGTCGGTTAAGCGTCCGACTTCAGCCAGGTCACGATCTCGCGGTCCGTGAGTTTGAGCCCCGCGTCAGGCTCTGGGCAGATGGCTCAGAGCCTGGAGCCTGTTTCCGATTCTGTGTCTCCCTCTCTCTCTGCCCCTCCCCCGTTCATGCTCTGTCTCTCTCTGTCCCAAAAATAAATAAACGTTGAAAAAAAAAATTTAAACTCAATGGAAATGGTAATAAATTTAAATTTCTGAATAGCTCCTCAATTTTTCTAAAATATCAAGTACTTAAGTGATATTCCCAACTATCAATTTTTGTAGAAATATAAATGTGATCCAATTAAAATATCTATAGCGAAAAGACATTAGGAGAGGTTATATTTTTCATTCCTGATAAATTCAAAGTTCAAAGATCTTTAGGTAGATCTTTAATATAAAAAATTTAGAGAAATTATATACAGATAAGTTCATCTCAAATAATGTAGAATTTGTAAAATAGTTGTATTTAAAAAGTATCCAATAAAATGTATGCCCTAATCCATCAGTCTGATCTAGTATTTATGATCTATTCTACTTTGCAAAGTTTGATTCCCAGAGTTTTCTCTCTTACATGTCTACTTATATATTTTCCATAGCTCTATATTATTTATTCTCTTAAGTCTATCAAGTATTTGGTGCCCAGATTGTCATCACAAAATTCACTGGCTGTACTGGCTTTGAAATTAATGTTTTAATCAAACAAATATGTGTTCATATATAATCATTTCTAAAATACCAACTTCCATGAAATATGTCATATCCGCTTAGCTATAGAGATGGAAGTATAAATAAGCTTAATACCCTAAGCATGTTTAATTGAGGAAACTGTTTCTTTCAGGATTCAAATATTATTTGAATTGTGTGTGAATTCTTAGAGGGCAGAAACTTTATATTTCTTTTATTGGACTTATCTTAGCTATCACAGTGCTTGACACAGGGAGACTGCCTATGTTTCCAACTTCATCTCTTACTACTATCCTCATTCTCAAAACAATGTCTGAAATGTAATTTGGGGATTGAATAAATGGGAGTGATAGAAGCTGAAAGGAGTAATGGTAAAATATACATACATACATATATGTGTCATATATATATTTGACTTCCAGAAGAATATGACTTAGTTACAAACTGGAAATAAAGCATAAATGAAAGAAAGGAAAAAAGAAAATGCCAAGGTTTCAGGGGATTTCATGAAGTTTTAAAATTGTTCTCACTGCAGACACTAACTGAAGAGTGAGTGGTTGGGATAGCAAGAAGGCTAGAGGTGAGGAAACCTATAAAAAGATTCAAACACTCCCACTGAGACAAAATACATTGCAGAAATATGCTGCCCTCTCTATTAACTAACAAACAGAAATAGTTCACATGTGATATTATGTTTTGTTCACCCTCTGGGCTAGGAAAGCACAACCCTTAAGGTCATGGTAGTGGAAGAGCAGATGTAATTATTCTCTTTTCCACCCAAGGTTAGTTATTCTTGGCTCAAGAGGACAAATAATTCTCTTTTCTTGGGTGGATGGCATGGCCACATGAAGAATGAGCCATACAGGGACAGCCCTGAGCAGGACTGACACATGAGTGCTTCCTCATATCTGATCCCTAATCCTGAGGTTCTTCTGCAGCTCTGTTTTCTAAGACCCACAGTGCTTAATTGGGTCATCAGAATCAAAACTAAGATTTTCAGGGCAGATAATGACAGAATCTTGGGGCACCTGGGTGGCTCAGTCAGTTAAGTGCCGGATTTCGGCTCAGGTCATGATCTCACAGTTCATGGGTTCAAGCCCTGCGTTGGGTTCTGTGCTGACAGGTCAGAGCCTGGAGCCTGCTTTGGATTCTGTGTCTCCCTCTCTCCCTGCCCCTCACCCACTCACGCTCTGACTCACTCTCAAAAATAAATAAACATTAAAAAAAATTTTTTTTAAATGACAGAATCTTAAGTTGGGTATCCATTTATCTACCTGGTGCCATTAGGGGTAGTTGCAGAAAAAGAGGGAAAATTCAGTTTATCATTGGAAGATAAAAAGTCTCCTCTGTTTTAAAGTCTCGGTAAGAGATGTTTAGGTTTATATTTCCTCTTAAAAAGTAGCAAAGCTCATTAACTTATATTTTTATATACAGACTCCTTGGTTTAAAATGTTCTCATTCAATATTGAGCACTTTAGAGGCACGGCACTCTGTAATTTTCCTAAATGAAGTGAATTAATTTTGCTCTTATATAATTTCTACCTCATATATATAAAATCTCATTTACATATAGAGGGAGGCTTATTTTATGGATTAGCTTTAATTAGACTGAAAGATACTAAAAATTATATGCAAATTTAATTTCAAGTCAAATTCTAATTTAAATTCATCAGGAGAGCTCATTATTTAAGAGAATCATTCAGTAACAACTTTTATTTCATAACAACCCTAATCATCATTTCATTTATATTTTATAAAGGAAATAAAACAATGTGATCTGTGTGTTAGTTCATTTGCCTCGAACTGTTGGAGAAATCAAAACAGCTCTGGGCTTGATTCCTTCTCTGTAAAATAAATTGAATCAGATAATCATCTTGTCCTTGCAGACATAGGCAATTCCATGATTCATTCTTCTAGTTTTTATATACAAAATGTTTTAACATATTTCCTATGCTTTTGGGGGTTGAAATGCCTACCTCATTTCATATCTTGATCATTACAAAGCACCTGTTTCTCTCCAACCTCATTTTATATATTCCCAATCTCTTCATATCTTTTTCTCAGATTCACATGAGAACTAAATTCACATGAGAAATAAATCAAGATGGCAATACTAATTAGTTTGAGTAAATATTTGTGAATATTTTACCTTAATTCAATCAGCAGGAAATCTCCTTTTGTGTTGAAGGTATGTGTACCTATATATGTACCCATATATTCACATATGTATGAATTCATATATATATATATATATATATTTTTTTTTTTTTTAGAGCAGTAGTGACTCATCTGAAGAAAATGGAGACGGCGACAGTTCAGAAGAGGAGGAAGAAGAAGAGGTAAGGAATTTCTGCAGGATTTTTCAAAACAAACCAGGCAGCATGAAAACAAATAGGAAACTAGTCTACTGTAGTCTGGACTTAGCAAACAAGCCATTGCCAGTTTACCAACTACCCACAGTCTTCTATTTTGGACAAGGAGAATATTATTTAAATTAGAATAAACTAAAATGACCTGTTTAAAATGCTACTGCATTTGGCGTTCAAGTTACCTATAAGTGGTGCGCAAAAACAAAAATGTCTCCATTATAAGTTGGAAGAAATGTACATTCTGATAAAAAGAAAAGGGAGTATCATTTATATTTAGGTGGATAGTGCAGGATAGTAAAAGACAAGTACCTAAACTCAGTGCAATACTTGTTTTAAGGACTGAACTTAAGCTCAACTTACTAAGTGGGTATATATGAAAAGCTAATCTTATATCCTCTACAATATTATTATGATTCATCTGTTTTTCTTGACCCACCAAGTAGGGTTATTCTTTTAAATGGGAATTTCATATGTCATTTTGTCTAAAAATAAAATTTATGGTCTTACATAAAGGCAAATACTCAAGATGTATAAGTACATATAGTACTACATATTCTATACATACTCCTCCATAGGACCTCAAATTAGTGTAGTTCACAGCTAAAATTCATCTGTATACCTTGGAAATTGTACTAACCTGTTTATAACTGACACTCTTGCTCAAGAAAACGTACTAATTAGGTACATTTTCCTGGATAGTCAATTATAGCTATCCACTGCTTTGGGGACCTTCTAAATTCAGGTATTCTTAAGTGCTATTTATGAAGGGGCAATGACAGTCAAAAATGGATCATGGATAAACATCTGCTATCTTGAAAACAAAATGGTATGGGAACTTTAAAAGTGACAAATAATTAGTTTGATTTTATTTTTTTAACCATAAAAGTATCATTTCCAGTACTATAATTTACCCTAATAGCTTAAGGGAAGACCTTACAAGAATACCAAGCCAGTACCAGGAAAAATGCCACCTACTAAATCCCACAAAATTTTGCCAGGAGTTCCATATAGTAATCTTACACAAGAACTAAGCTGGGGTAATCTATTTAACTACAGCTCTTTGCTGTACGGTGATCACAAAATTGCTTTGCCAGGTAGATTTCCCAATTAGACTGCATACCTTTTGGCAATGGTTCTTCATTTGTTATGATGGAGGTTGAGGATAGAGGACAGTAAGGTTTAAAAACTATGATGAAATCACACATGCTCAAAATTTTGTCAACAATCTCCGAACATTTACTATCCTCCCAAAACTTACCTGCAAACTCCTAATGACCCAGAGGGCAAGAGACCATAGGTTTCATATCCAGTTTGGGGAAAAACAGACTGTATCCTCCTTATAGCTCCTCACACTGTTTAGCACAGTTTCTTCTACGATATATGGTGCCCAAAAAATATTTGTGGTTTAGTTTTGAAAACTTCAGAGGAATAAATACTCCAAACATCATTCATTAAAAGTGATCATAGAAAAGTGGATACATAAATCTAAAGGCTTCTATCATGAAGAGATTCTAGAACTTCCTTTTTCCTCATTTCTTCCCTAAAATTTCATTGGCAATTCAGGTTAAATACATAGTCTCCAGGAATGGTATTCACATTAGAGGGTGCTTAGGCATATTTTCTATTTGATGATGATCACAGTTTTTTTTTTTTCCATTTCTAAACGATTCAGCCTCACTTTAAAAAAAACTTTATAAAAATATAATATATACAACACAATTATATGTATACAGATAGTTGAAATTTCAGAAATTGAACAGTTTCAAAAAGCACCCATATCAAAAAGCAGCATATGCTCTGTGTTCCATTTTACTCATTAACCAAACCCACCAAAAGCAACTGTTATTTTGAATCCTAACAGTTTTCACCCATTTTTGCATATTATAAAAATGGAATCATATATCATATACTCTTTTTTTGCGTGGTGTCTTCTACTCCCAACTTCAAAAGTTAATCCATATCGTTCTACAGCTCTAAGTCATTCATTCTCATTGTGAGTATCTTATGAAGTGAATACACCACAATGTATTATGCTTTTGTTGATGGGCCTTTGGGGCAGTTTCCAAGTTTGGGCTATACCAAAGAGAGCTGCTATGAACATTCTAGTACTCCTTCTGGTGAACACATGCATCTATTTCTGGAGGCCAAAAGGTATGCATATGTTCAGCCTAAGTAGATGTAACCAAAGCAAATGCACTGTGATCTCCCTCTATTAGTATATCAGTTACTCCACGTTCTCACCAACAGTTGTCTTTCAGCCATTTTAGCCAGTCTAGTGGGTTAATAACAGTTTTAAAACATTAATACTAATTTTTCTATTCAAAAAGATATTTGAAGCTTAATACCCATCAACAGACTGACCTGTTTTCCTTCTTAATTCACTGCAAAGGCATATCCTTAAAGAAAGTATCTATCACGGGAATCTACCCCCAAAACCAAGAGCACACTGTACACACTGTATATTAGCCAATTTGACAATAAATTATATTTAAAAAAAAAGTATCTAGAAAAGAAAGGGCATTGTAGGAGAAAATGTAGAACTTCATGATTTGAGAGTCTGAATCTTTACTCATGACCTTGCCACTAGTGAACCACCATCTATTTGACCTCATGTGAGTCATTTATCTCATTGGACCTCAGGTTTTCCACGTGTAAAAAGATGGTACAGGACCCAAATTATATGTTCTACTCTAAGAATCTTTCCTCCTCCTGCCCTGAAAGATTTAGTCTGTTGAAATAAAGCATACACATGAATAAATAAACAGTATGGTGTTTGTGGGATATTTGACACAATTGGCTTAAAGACTATTTAGGGGTGGACTCTAGTAGCCCCAAGAGCTTATTGAAACATCGGAATTTACAAATTTGATGAAACAAACATATTCTTCTTTAGCCACTCTGTTTTAGTAACAAGGCAAGCTAAACCTGGGTTGTGTTTACTTTTTTTCTTTATATAAACTTTTTTTCTTCTACCACTTTGTTTTGAAATCTGTGCATTATCTTTTTTTAAGTGTTTATTTAAATTCCAATTAGTTAATATACAGAGTAATATCAGTTTCAGGTATATAATATACTGATTCAATACTTCCATACAACACCAGATGCTCATTACAAGTGCACTCCTTAATCTCAGTCACCTATATAACCTATCCCCTCACCACTCTCTCCCCTGGTAATCATCAGTTTCTTCTCTATGGTTAAGAGTCTGTTTCTTGGGTTGCCTCTCTCTCTCTTTTTTTCCCCCTGTGCTGGTTTGTTTCTGAAATTCAACATATGAGTGAAATCATATGATATTTGTCTTTCTCTGACTGACTTATTTCAGTTGGCATAATACTCTCTAGCTCCATTCATATTATTGCAAATGGCAAGATTTGATTCTTTTTCATAGCTGAGTGTGTGTGTGTGTGTGTGTGTGTGTGTGTGCGTGCTCACATCACATCTTCTTTATCCATGTTTTAAAGTCTTAAAACTTAATGTCATCATCTAAAGAGATTAGATACACTGAAATGAATTCAATCTTCCAGTACTTAAAGTAAATAAACTCTCTGTATGAATTCCTGACTTTTTTTAACGTTTATTTATTTTTGAGAGCGAGAGAGAGAGAGAGAGAGAGAGAGAGGGAGAGAATCCGAAGTAGGCTCCAGGCTCTGAGCTGTCAGCACAGAGCCTGTGTGCGGCTCGAACCCACGAACTGTGAGATCATGACCTGAGCTGAAGTTGGATGCTTAACTGACTGAGCCACCCAGGCTCCCCTGAATCCCTGACTTTTAATATTAGCTATGAATCACAACGGGAGATTAACTCAATTAACAAATAACTGCCTAACAACATAAAGGCAAAGAATAAAATGTTCAATAAGGTTATATAGTAAGATTAGTAAGATTATAATAAACATTCATTTGAGGAGTGTTTATTTTTTTTTAAAAATCATGCAATAACATAATAGAACCACTAAAAATTTCTTGGAGTGTTTAGTTTCTTCACTGCACAGAAAAATTGATTGTGTGTCAAATGTCTAAAATCTTCTGAATACTGCATACAACACAAAATTGGCTTATATACTGCCAGATAAATTTTGAATTAAATATGGTTCTTTTCTCTAAATACACTTGAAAGCAAATGAAATCTATTCGCTTCTTTTTGGTAGTAAATAAGAAATGCAATCAATTTGTTTGAAGAGGGGGATTTCCATAAAAATTCCTTTCTGAAAAAATATCCTAGGTGTAGTGTGAACAATTCACATAAATCCTCTTCCTCAACAAAAACATCATAGTGCATTAGAAAGGGCTGGGTTTTGTTGTTTTCTTCATGCATAAGACCTTAAGCAAGTTATTTAGCTTTTCTGAGCTCAAGGTCCCTTTCCAATTTTTTTTTTAATGTTTGTTTATTATTGAGAGACAGAGACAGAACATGAGCAGGGGAGGGGCAGAGAGAGAGGGAGACACAGAATCTGAAGCAGGCTCCAGACTCTGAGCTGTCAGCACAGAGCCCGACGCAGGGCTCAAACTCACAATCGTGAGATCGTGACCTAAGCCAAAGTTGGACGCTTAACTGACTGAGCCACCCAGGCGTCCCTCACTTTCCCTTTCTAAAGAGAACAATAATCCTACCTTACAAGGCTGCTATAAGGAATAACAGGTATAAGTTCTCAGCTTATTTGTCAGCAAATGTAAGCATTTATTTACTACCATGTTATAATAGTATTGGTAAGACTTTAAGAGCCTAAAGCCTGTAGAATAAAATACCATGTAGTCAGATATGCTGAAATTATTACACAAACATTTTTGAATTGATAAAATAGAATACAGAAATATCTAAAACAGACTATAGTGAGGTAAGGAGAATGAAATAACTCTGAGTTGAGTTCTAAGAAGTGAGAAGTGCAAATATCATAAGAGGAAGCAGAATTGTTAACATTAGGTGATGAGCTGGCTGAGGAATACATTTTTCTCAGTAATGGCTCATGACTCCAGTAAATTTTGAGTTTTCTTCCAACTAACTAACTTTTCTTGCTCTGGATATTTTTACCAGGAAGCTTCAAATGAAGAAGAAAACAATGAAGAGAATGCAAATTCTGACGAAAATGAAGATGAAGAATCTGAGGCTGAGAACACCACCCTTTCTGCTACACCTGGCTATGGAGAGGAGACCACACCTGGAACAGGGAACATAGGTTTAGCTGCAATCCAACTTCCCAAAAAGGTAATAATTCCTCAAAAATGTTAAATCTGATTTCATTTCTTTACTGAAATCTAAGGTTAGCTTGACACTATACACAGGTGTTCTACGTTACCTTCATTAACTCATTGAAAAAGCAAGAGCAGGTTCAATTTCCCTGTTTACAAGTAAGGAAATACCTTTTCCCAGGCAAATTCTCTTCCCATGTTATTACACTGACTTTCCACATTATAACAGAAGACTAAGGACAAGCATCTTGGCAATGGATAAAAGGTCCTGAAAGATGCCACTGCATTTCAGGGAAGAGGATTCCAAGACAGACAAAGTGAATAGCAAAGCTATGGGAAGCATCTCCCACAAGGAAAGCTTATTTATCAAGTACATTTTCTCTATCAAAACCCAATGACGAAAGTACTAATTCTGAATTTCTAAAACACCCATCAAAGGTACTAGTTCTGAATTTTTAAAACACTCACCAATTCTTTTGTAAGTTAAACTGGCTTCAATTCAAAAATACATCTGAAACAAGGCTGTAGGTACAGCCTGTGTTGGATGAAATAATGGTCTTAAGTTTTTATATTTTCACACCAAATCTGGATCCTTTTAAACTTTTCCTTATAGGCTGGGGATACAAAAAAGGCTACAAAAGAGGAGGAAAGTGATGAAGAAGAAGAGGAAGATGAAGAAAATGAAGAAAATGAAGAAACTGAAGAAGTGGATGAAAATGAACAAGGCATAAACAGCACCAGCACCAACAGCACAGAGGTAGAAAATGGCAATGGCAGCAGTGATGGAAACACTGGAGAAGAAGGTGAAGAAGAAAGTGTCACTGAAGTCAATGCAGAAGGAACCACAATGGCTGGAAGGCAGGACAATGGTGGCTCCACGACTACAACCTCTCCAAATGGTGGATTTCAACCTACAACCCCACCACCAGAGCTCTACGGGACCACCATCCGACCATCTAGGGAAGCCACCACCACTGGATATGAGGAAGAGTATGAACAAACAGGCACCAATGAATATGACAATGGATATGAAGTCTATGAAAACGAGAATGGAGAACCTCGTGGCGATAATTACCGAGCCTATGAGGATGAGTACAGCTACTATAAAGGGCGCAGCTATGACAGCTATGATGGTCAAGATTACTACTACCACCAGTGAAAGTCCAGCCTTGGATGAATTCATTCATTCTGGCATTTTGTGTGGCTACCATTTTCAAAGTTCAACTCAGGAAGGTGCAATACAACAAATGTGCATATTATAATGTGGAATGGTGCTACTGTTCCAAAGTAATTTTCTGTAATTGCTTCTGTGAGTAATGGGCTTCTTGTTGCTTTTCCCTGGTATGTTACTGAAGGGTTATTATAAATCAGGGCCATTTATCAAGTGGTAAACCAATCCATGAGATTGAGTTCAATTAAATGTTTGGAGGTTGTAGTTCTACAAATATTTTTAACATATTTGCACTATTAATTGCTAAAACATACTTTTCATGCAAGAAGTGCTTCTATGTATTGGCATTAATGACACTATAACAAAATATGTAGTTCTTTAATCACACTGCCTATCCAACTCTGTATATTGTGTTTAATTATCATCTTCATGTATTTTTATGTGACCTTTATGTATATTCTACCTATGGGTTTTATCATAAATAAAAAATGCAATCTTCCATATCATAATTACGGAAAAAATGAGAGATTCAGAACTGAAAAATATGAGACCAGTGGGGAATAACTGAGCTAAAGGATAAAAGCTTATTTCTACTATGCTTTAAAACTCAGAAGAACTAGAAGTATTCTATCATGGACAAATCAACATAACTAATATTTTGACATGCTTGCGGGCATGGTCAACCATACACATCAGGAGAAGAAATGGCTTTTATTAGAGTTGCCAGATTTAACAAAAATATAGGGTGCCTGGTTAAATTTGAATTTCAGATAACAATGAAAAACTCCTTAAGTTTTACTCCTAGAAGTAAGTATGCTTCGTGCACAATTTGACCTCTGTCAACTATTTGGGACATATTTATACTAGTTCAAATTTAATGGAATATCCTATTTAGTATCTGGCAACCCTACTCCTATTTGATTTAGGTTTTAAATGGGGTAGGGAATGGATGCAGTAGAAAACTCTCTCTCTCTCTCTCTCTCTCTCTCTCTCTCACACACACACACACACACACACACACACATCCACACATATGCACACATCCACATACAAACACATACACACACACACACACCAAAGAGGGCTGGTATGCAAAGCCTTAACTACAATTCATACTTTAAACCTGAAAGCAAATATACTGAAGAAAAGTTGATAATGGTAAGGAGTAAGAATACAAACATCATTCATCTTTTTATTTATTCACTTATAAGATGCACTGAACACCTGTTATTGGACCAGATAATGTTTAGACACTGGGCATATGGAAATGAAGAATCCAGTCCTCAAAGTGACTTTAGTCTGATAGCTAACAGTTATAAGGCATTACATGCATCAACTAATTGTCTCTTCTTTATTTTTTTTATTTAAAAAAATTTTTTTAATGTTTATTTATTTTTTGAGAGACAGAGCATGAGCAGGGGAGGGGCAGAGAGAGAGACACAGAATCTGAAGCAGACACAGAATCTGAAGCAGGCTCCAGGCTCTGAGCTGTCAGCACAGAGCCCAATGCAGGGCTCGAACTCATGAACTGCAAGATCATGACCTGAGGCAAAGATGAACACTTAACCAACTGAGCCACCCAGGTGCTCCTCCTAACTCTTTATTTCGAAAAATTCTAAGCCTTTAGAAAAATTGGAAAGCTAATACATGAACAGCCTTATTATAACTTTCACCTAGATTAATCAATGGTTAAAACATTTTGCTATATTTACATTAGCTCCTTCTATTTCTGTGTGCCTTTCTTCATTATACAAACTCCTCTGCCAAACCATTAAAGGGTTTAACATCATGATGCTTCACTCCTATACTTCAGCATTTAGTATAAAAATAAGAAATTCTCCTAGACAGCCACAATACCATTCTCATTCTCAGGAAACTAAACACTGCTATGAGAGCATTTTGTAATATACAGACCATATTCAAATTTTCCCAATTATTCTAATAATATCATTGATTATTAACTCAGTTAATCCTCACAAAACTCTATCAGGTAGGTATGTTTGTTCTCCCCCATTTTATTGATGAAGGAACTGAGGCACAAAGAGAGACACAGACACAGCTTGCACAAGGTCACAAGTCACAAAGCTGAGGGTAAAACAAAGCAGACTTGCTTTAGAATTTTTGCTCTTTACCATTATGTTACACTTATTAGTGTGTGTTTATCAGTAATGGATGTTGAGCTATAAGTGAGCAGGAAATCTCTAATGATGAGAACACTGCTGAAATATGAGCTTTGTTCTATATCACAATTATCTTAGAACCAGCCATGTTTTATGACTTGAGCCCTAAAGAATGTTTTCAAAGCAAGGATCTTCACACATTTTTGGCATGTTTTTAGACAGACAGCTTGGTATTGTGGAAAGTGCATGAGCTCTAGAGTTAGATGGGCTTGAATAACGGTGTTATTGAGAGTAAATTAATATCCTTCTCTAGACTTCCTCACCTCATCTCCCACACATGGAGTATACTCAGTAGGTTGCTGTTCAGAGTCCAACATGTTAATGAAGTGCTCAAGATCATCATCTCTCTCCTCTCCACTCCCCATCCTTTCTCCATCTTAACACTTAGGTACATCTGACTGTTATAGACTTACCTGGTCTTTTAGAACATTTTTTTTCTTACCCTAATGCATCTTTGTAAGCAAAAGCTTTTTTAATTTTTTTTTTTAATGTTCATTTATTTCTGAGACAGAGACAGAGCATTAGTGAGGGAGCGGCAGAGAGAGAGGGAGACACAAAATCAGAAGCAGGCTCCAGGCTGTCAGCACAGAGTCCGACATGGGGCTCAAACTCACAAACCGTGAGATCATGACCTGAGCTGAAGTCGGTCGCTCAACCGACTGAGCCACCCAGGTGCCCCTGTAAGCAAAAGCTTTTGATGAGAGTGACTCCTTGGAACAGTGGGAACAGTGTAATCAATACTTCTTATTAGACAATATACGTAATTTTTACTATTTGTGACTTATTGTCACAAACTACCTCAATATATCAATAGAATCATCCACTCTTAGAGTTGGAAAGGATCTTTGAAATCTGTGAATTTTATTTACCAATATGTCAAAGTTATTCATTTTTTATCGCAAAATTGGTTAATCTTTTCCTTTATGGTTTCTCACTTTGCTTCTGACATATGTAATGGGGGTGTCTGCTCCATCCTCTTCTACCTCAGGGATTTGAGCTAGCCCACTTTAATGCCACCCTGCCCCAAACATTGAAGAGTTTCCTTTAGACTAGTAGGGGATTTTTCACTCCGAGAAGGCAGCAGAGGAAAGATTCACAGCCTAGCCCAGACACCAACATGAGTGTGTATTCATATGGTGAGGCCTACAGACAACTAAGTACCCAGGGCCTAGATGAAGGCAATATGGTGTTCCTGGATGAAGACCAGGGGGTAGGCTGATGACAGCTGTGATTTACCATGGCTCCTAGGCATCCCAACAATGCCCCTTTACAGTTCTCTCAGTAATACCATGCAAAATTTTCTTCATGGAAGGTCCCCTCTTCAATATTTCCTGCTTAGGATCACAGTAGAGTTCCCACCTCCTTCTGCCACCCTAACTAGCTAGCCTCCTTGGCCTCTTGCTTCAAATTCCCTTCACCTTCCCACCAATAGCTCTATTTTCTGTATTCCCTGATAGTACCTATTTGGTGGTCCATCTGGCAGATGATGAAAATCCAAATTATTAGGAAAAAGGGGGAACATTTTTATTCCTCCCAGGGAAAGACCATCCTTCCCCTGAGAAACAGTCAAATGACCCCTCTAAATAGAGAAAAGATATAAAGTTAAATAAGTTATGCTTGTATTTGAGGGAAAAATCAAGTTGTATATTTATAATCTCCTATCCACAAAAAAATTCTTTTGCTGTTGTTAAAATGTAGAAACCAGTCTGTAGCAGTGGCAAAGCTCATAGATGAACCATAATATCTGTTCTCCTTTCTCTGAGTAAGAGAACCCAGGTTTTTAAGCTGGACCTGTGGCTACAGAGTAAATTCCAATTTCTTTCACTCTCATTGGAGCTACATGTGGTTATTCAAGTTCTGGCCATGTATACCTTGGATGTGTACAATTTCTTGGTTGTCTCCCTAAAGAGAAGTATTATTCTCTTCCCCTTTCTCCAAATTCTCTCTTCTACTGGCGAAATTCGACAATGATGGTGAGTCATCTATGACAGTGTGCATGAAGCAATAATCCACAGATGGCAAGGTAACAAGATAGAAAAGTCTACACCATACCAACCCTGGACATCTACTTCTACAAATAAACTGTTTTCTTTTAGCCTCTATGATTATGGATCTCTGTTATTTATATGCAAATTACATCCTAACTCAGTAGTTCTCGAAGTATAGTCATCAGATCAGCGCCTCAGCATCAGAAATGCAATTATGCAGCACCCTACCCAAGACCGACTCAATGAAAAGTTCTGGGAGTGGACAGGTGATTCTTATACACCTCAAAGTTTGAGAACCACTATTTTGATTAATATAGTAGCTAATGCTTATTATACACTTACTGTGTGCAAGTTCTATTCTAAGCATTTTACATATATTACCTCACTTAATTCTCACAATTACTAAAAATCTACTACATTTTACAGGTAAGGAAATGGAGTTACAGAGACATTTGGTAACTTGCCTGAGATGATGCAGCTGGTAAGTGGAGGAAAAGAAACTGCTCCAAGGTCCACATCCCATATATCTCTCACAGCTTCTAAGGTCACCCTGTTAAGATAAGTGAATTTAACTGGGAATCAGAAGACTAAGTTTTAGATAAGAGTACATATAACAAACCTAATGATGTTTTTACTCCTTTGTCTTTTGGGGTTAATAAGAACATGTAATTTTACAGGTTTCACATCATGCTCAGGTGATCAAAGAAGGATCTCTTTGAGAACAGAGACTGTTCATAAATAAGGAAAATATCCTTTCATGCTGTTGTGAAAATAGGACAACACTTTGTCCCTTGTCATGCTGTCAGGCACTCCTTCCAAAGGCAGTGTGATTCGTAACAGGGCCATGAGGATCTCAGCTACAGCTACTAGGTTTGCATGTCACAGTTCCATGGATTCAGCCAGAAGGAAGATAATGACTTCAAACAGAGTCAAACAGTTTATTACTTTTACAGAGAGCAAAAGCAGGATCATCAAAGTATCAGATCTCTGTATGTCTCATCCCATAGGATGACACTGAACCAGCGTGGTCAGATGACAAACAACATCAGTAGTAGGTCATTCTGCTGTTGAGAAGCCACTCTCACCTATGGCCAAGCAGAGAGACTTACAAAGAAATCTGCAGTTGAGCCCCAAAGGGTGAGAGGCTGAAAGTCCTATGCTCAACTGAAACTATGGAGATGGATGAGAAATGGCCTTCTGACCAACTCCCACTAGTTGGAAAGGTGGGAGAGGAACTGCTTCCAGCATTTCTGCACCACGCTGCTCATTGTTCCTTGCTCTAGGAGGAATCACAGGGCACCGGGCCAACATTCAGGTAGACTGCAGTCAACCCTCGCCCAC